CGCTTGAGTGAGGGTGTTGGCGGGCACAGGCAGCCAGGATGCTCCAGAGACACGAGGGAGGGGAGGCTTGGCCTCCTGGACATGTTGTCAGGAGACACCGAGCAAGGCACTGGGTTGTGTGGGTCACAAGCAACCCTAGACAGCCTTCGGATTCATGGGGGTTCCGGAACACGGCACTGTGCTCACGAGGAACGGGTCAGCGGATAGAATAGAATGCGCCGCTGGGCGAATAGAACGGGGGCTGCCGACAGGTGTGCGACCAGGTTGTATCCTCTCAGCATCCCTGTTTGACCTGTAAGCTGGGCAACTCATCATCATCCGAGATGCTGAAAGGAAGAAGATGGCATCAGGGCGTGGGTAGGCTTACTGACACCCCTGAGAGGTGGAGGCCACCACCTTGCTTGCGAAAGTGAGGAGGACCTGAAGCCCTAGAAGATCAAGGGCTGCGGCCCTCGGTGCGCATTGTGACGACGCGGTGTGAGAAGGAGCCCAAGCCGCGCAGTGGACCGCCATGATCGTGCAGAAAGGCCGAGGTGGTCCAGATTTCATCATGCTTAGGCTCACAATCCGCGGACACAGCAGTCTGCCGCACAGGACCCCTTTAGAGTGTGGAAAAGCCAGGCTGTTCCTCTGAGGACCCAGGGGTGCCTGGCCAAGCCAAGGCGTCTTCAGAAGCCCCGCGTGCATGTGGGCGTCCGAGAAGAACGAGGAAGCCTGGGGAGCGGAAGCACTTGGACCGTGACGCAGGCGAAGAGGCTGACAGCACCACAGACGCCGAGAACCAGCAAGTCTGTCCTGTAAGAGGGCCCTGAGAGGCAAGGACAGCGGGCTTCATTTACATGCTGGGACATGTCAGGAGAGACCAGTCCCTGCAGAAGGAAACCATGCTTGTGCAGTGGAGGGGCGAGGAAAGAGGAGGAAGGTGAGGAGCAGGATGGACAGACAGTGGCTGCAGCAATGGGCTCGGACACGAGGACGATTGGGACGTGGGTGGGGGTGGTGCGGGAGGGGTAGTGTTTCCTTGCCTGGTGCACCGTGCAGGTGGCTATGGGTCAGCTGAATCCGTTGCACCAACGGCAACAAGAGGCCCTGGGAAGAAAGGGCACCCGCCCACGGCCTCACACTGCCCACCACCCAGCTCCTCACTGAGCCTCCCACACAGCTAGTGCAGCCAGCCCCTGTACTGGCACACTGGGAATCACTGAGTAAAAATGATCCTTTCCAAATTTTGAAAGCTGTGTGGTTTCTAAGAACAGAAACATCACCACC